TCGCTTGATGCATCACCACTCCTCCGGGGTGGTTTTAAACAGCAAAACCAAAGCGCTACAAGCTGTAGGGGCTCTGTATGACTTTCAGCATACAGAGGTGGTACCAGAGTTACCATTGGCAAAAGCGCCTACCCTTTTTGAACTTGAAATAAATAAGCGGTGCTCAACACTCCCGCTTGACGCACACCCCCAAAAACTCTTACAGAGTTTAAGCGGCAAAGCCACAGCGAAACAAGCCGTAGGGACTCTGCATGACTTGCAACCATGCAGAGGTGGTAACTGATGGCTATCATTGGCCCCGACGCCTACCCAAAACATTTTTGCTTTAATACATTTTTATGCAAATACATTCATCCTGGTCCTGCCCTCTCACTGAGTTATTCAATATTTATTGGGTTGAATTTACCGGGATGAGTTTGTTTTGAGATGAGTTTGTATTGGGATGACTCTTTTTGGGTTACATTTTCCGGTATGAGTTGTTTTGGGATGAGTTCTCTTGGATGAATTTACCTAGAACCAACATTTCCTCCAACACACATTGTTTTACATATTTAATCTCGGTTCCGATACTAAATTGTTTTCGTACAAAACTACACAAAAAGGCGGTAAATTTCTTACTCGCTCGTTTTTAGGCATGCTATTGTTACGAATTGCGAAAGTTCGAAAATACGATTCAGATTGCAGCGTACCATTTCTACGATTTGTAGCAAAATCCGAATACGAAAGTGTTGCAGAATAGGGGTGATTGTTAAAAAATAACATAAAATACATTTCATGTTCAGCGTTGCCACTAACAATTTTTTCCTCCTACCAATTTTCATCCCAAATCCGACCAAAATCGTTTACAACCTACCACATTAATTTCAATTACAAAAAAGCATTCTGAAAGCATACAATTCATTTATTTAAGATTAAGTGTTTCGAATACCAAAAATTTACATACATACATACATACATATATGTACTTTCTACATTTTAAAACAAACAAGAAATAAATAAATGCAGGTACAGTATGAGGCACAGATCATTTAACATTTTTTGGTTGCATGAATTATATACACATGTACACGTTTTGTACCAATAAGTTTAATTTCCTAAAAGTAAATTTAAATCTATTAATTACACATGCAAATCTTTAGCAGCTGACCACACATAGTGCAAGTACAAGTTCCTTGCATAACATTATGCTATTGATACTGTCAATCTTAAGTTTATTTCTTAGTTTAGTTTTATCAAAGAGTGTTGAAAATTTGCGTTCTGCGGCTGCAGTTATGCAGTTATGTGGTAATGAAATTATATTAAAAAAATATTGGCAAGATGCATGGAGCTATTTTTAACTGACTTTTTTTATGTATGTTACCGCATAACTTTGAACCACGTTAACCGATTTCGATAATTCTTTTTGCATCGGAAAGGTAGTGTCGGTAGAGAGGTGGTCCCACACTGATCTGGTTTAGATCCGATCA